CACACACACACACACACACACACACACACACACACCACACGCGCGCTGCGCTGCGCGCGTCGCGCGCACACACACACACACACACACACACACACATACACGCGCGCGCGCACACACACACACACGAAGCACGCACACACATGGGGCATACGCCACACGAGCACGCACAACACACGCTCGCGCGCACACGCACACACACGCTGCGCGCACACGCACACGAGCACGCACACCGCGCGCACGCACACACGGGCGCGCGCGCGCACACGCACCGCAGCACGCGCACAACCGCGCCGCACACCACACGTGCCACGCACACGCACGCACACACGCGTGATACGCATACGTGTGAAGCTATATATGGACATTTTCGCTGCTACAGGGTGCAAACGACTGTTTATTCGTCTGCCCTGTCAAGCACGGGATTCTGACAATAGGACGGCAGAAGATGCGTACACGTGCGTCTGGCGATTCTGGATAATCGGGCCGGAATTGTGAGAATAGTAAGTATATACAGTTACCTTACCTCTATCTGATTATACTCGAGTGGTGATACGCGACAGGAGTGTGGTTAACACTATTGCTACGTTTCGTCACCCGACAGTCAGGTATCTAGTGGTAGATTTGATCGTTATTAAAAACCTTTCACCACTATTTATAAGAGGCTTCGCATTCCAGCAAGCGTATTTTCATGAACTTTGTGAAAGGAACTTATAAGAACAATACACCTATAAACCTGTGCTATATGGCTTGTACTCGGACAAATTGTGCAGCCAATTATCGCGCTACTGCGTTTGAAACAAAAATTTGTCTCAATCTGGCATTTTTCGCCCCCCATTTTATTACCGCGATCTTATTACAAGTAAAAATCTACTCAGATAATCGACGAGTGTCAGATACGTCCTTGCCTGACGGTGGCCGCATGCGGTGGACCAGGGCTTGGCCTAATTACACCTTGGCGAGTGTCTCAGCGGCTGGGACCCGCGTCGCAACTGTGAAACGGGGGAACACGGGGGACCGGGGGCCTTCACCATCGAATGAATTCGTAATGTGAGATGCGGTCGCAGGGTCACCGCGGTGCATCCCTCCGACTCAGCCAGCTATGAGGACGAGCGAAGCGGTGATTGATGCGACAGCTCCGATTGGAAGTGAGATGGCGAACCGGAACGACGACGACGACAACGGCAGCGACGAACTAGCGGCAGCGCTATGACAGTATAAGTAGTAATTGGATGGCCCAGCTGCGCGCCGGCACACAACTGGCAGTTCTGTTCGTTGGCCTTCACGATGAATCTTTTCGTGCAATAATTATATAAATCAGTACTTATATATTTAACTAAATAAAAATTTAAAAAATTGCGATATTAAAGCGATATTATACATTAGCGAGCCTAGCCTTATATATATATATATATATATATATATATATATATATATTATATATTATATATATATATATGTGTGTGTGTGGCCTGTGTGTGTGTGCGTGGCCTGCGTCGCGTGCGTGCGTCGTGTGCTGTTGGTGTGTGTGTGTGGTGTGTGTTGTTGCGTGCTGTGCGTGGCGTGCGTTGCGTGCGGCTGCGTGTGTGTGTGTGGCGTGTGTGAGTGCCGTGCGTGCGTGCGTTGACGTGTGTGTACGTGCTTGCCCGCCGCTTATTTTACGGCACATGACATGCTTCACACTAATCCACAATTCGGAATTTTTCGCAGCCATATATAACATAATTTCACATTGATTTCAGTGGTGCTCCGCCTGGCTGCCAAGAGTTTGTTCTCGCCGACATGGAAGCATTACTTTCCGCTGTCTTTAAAGGAAATCCGCCCTTGCATCTACTTCAGCCCAGAGTGAATAACGGAATGAAGGATTGCGAAACGGCGAAGACGATCGGTGTGGAAATTCGGGCCTAAATGCCACCTCTACAGGATTCGTAGCGTTCATTGATTTTTTTATGACGTCATTAGGCATTTACAGAGACTGGTCAACGTTTAGATTGAACTACGCATAAATTGCGAGATGGTATGACGCTTAAGAAGAACGATGCACGCACGGCCGGTAGCTGCGCGAGGCCTATGCCACACTGTAAGACAAAAAAAGCTGTATTGTTGGTAAAAGAGATGTGAAAATTGTTTGTTGTCTAGGCCAGTAGTGGATTAAGACGATTCGGCTTTACCGTACGTTTGATTAAATTAGAACCTACATTAAAACTACGTTGATTAATAGCAAGTAACCTACTGAAAAACGGTTCATTATAAAATATAATATATTTCGGAAAAGCGCGTTTCCTGGTATTATATAGAAACGCGAAAATGTCATAGAAGAAGAGACGTTTTAAATCCCAAAAAAATTGTAATTAATTAGAGTAGGCCTAATGCTATTTTCTTATTATTTTAAACAATTGTTATAGTTGTAACAATGTGTGCTAAGTTATAATGCTTGTATAACTTGCAGTATATGTCTGCTGAAAAGCCTGATAACAAATCAATATATTATTAAAAAACATTCTAACTTCTTGGAACTGTAATAGGTAACAAACGATAGAATAATTGACTTTGTGTGACAATATGCACTACGATAAACAACCATAATGCTATTAACTGCTGATTTTGATGCAAACGATAAACTAGTGCGTGTTGTTATTGGGCAATGTTATAAAATATAAACAAATAATGTGGCAAGTTATCGATTTGTGTTAATTAAAATCAGTTCATTTTAAAATTAGCAATTAGGTTGCGTTTTATTTTGTTATATTGTATACGTATAGGCCTACTGCTACGCCGATCGAAGTAATAAAAACCAAGATGCAACGGACGCGAAGCGCCATCCGCCATGCATGCACATTTAGATAGGGGAAAATATTGTGGCGGAATAGCTGCCTGCTCAAAGTAAACTTTCGGAGCAATTTTTACCGTGCACGATTCTCCCGGGTGTGCGCTACTCCTCGGCCATTTCACGCGTAAGTTTTGGCCGAATAAAGTCTTTTGCTGCAACTGACCAGCCGTCGGCGAGAGGCCAATATAATTCCAGGTCTACCTGGCATCCTAGGTTTTAAGGAAGGAGCAGGATGGCTGGCGACCAAGACGAAGATCTTTTAGAACGGATTTTACAACGCCACATCTGCTCGCGGCATGCCCCTGCCACATTTTAACGCTAATGCTTAGCCGAAGATTACCGAAATTATTCATCTTGGCTTGCGGAACGGCGACGAGCCGACGCGGGCACATTTTATGTACATTAGCACATGGGAAAATTTGTGGCAGTGCGAAAAGAGCGCCCATTTCCTTGTACATTTGGAGTATGGAAACAAATGTGGCGGCGATGCCTCCAGGCATTGTCGTAGTAACAACTAAACCGAAACCAATTCAGTACGGCAATTTCCAGCAATAAAGCTAGAGTGAATTATATGAGTGCACGATACTCCCATCTCATATTAAATAATAGTGAAACTTTGAACAAACCTAACAAAAAAGGAACAATTGGAAGGCTTTCAAAATGGATTCCTTAAGGGAGAATAAATGAGTTCCGCGTTCTAACGTAGCGGAAATGTATGGTGGACGCCCGAGAGCGCGGCCAGCTCGATTCGCGCGAGCCAGCACGCGGCACGAGTTCGGCAAGGAGATACGGAAAACGGAGCACTTCGGCTCTTTCTACTAGCTGCTATCGTCCAAAAAATAGCTGATTTGTTCACTTTTGTGGATAAAGCATGAAACTTTGCACAATTACTTCTTAACCATGTTAACAAACATTTGTGATAATGGATCCAAGCCTAGGTTAAGCTTACTGGAAAACTCGAGATCTGCGCATGTCCTAAATCGCGGACATGGAAACGATCGGCCTGAAAATTTATTTGCCCTAAAAAACAGGGCCTTAAGAGTACAAAAAATAAACTTAGGAACTGATATATTAGTTGCCATATATGTGGTATTCTATGCTAGAAAATTGTTGAAGATATGATCACGTGACCTTTCTTTACAGTTTTTTACGAATTTTCGCTTGGTGAATACCTGTAGGCTGGAATGTCAAACCATACATACATTAGTGGGGGGGATATGTGATCTGAGGTGTCGCACTTCTTGGAAAGGAAGCATTGTGAAAATTTGCCCTAGGGCCGCATAGTTTTTGAGTATGTCGATTTCAAAAATTGCGGGGAAACACGATGTCACTCCAAACGTTTCCCGCAAAAAATCAAAAATTAAAAATGGCCACCAGAAGACATGTTTTGTCCATAAATTCAGCTGTAAGTGCCTCGATTACAATGTATCTTGGTGCCTATTACCTATGTTGTTGATAGTCAAAGAAATGCAATCAAACGGCATGTCAAATATCATAAGCATATTATCTTTCCCGTGGCCAAAAAATTGCAATTCATAAATTGCCGCCACAAAACCAGTTTTGCCATAAATCGCTGTAAGTGCCCCCAAGTACCATGATCTTGGTCTCTATACATTGTGTTTTTGAGTCAATGCACCCAATAGAAAACGGGGTATAGACACATGTGATCTATCATAACTATCTTCCCCCAAAAAAAAATTTAATACAAAATGGCCTGCCACAAACGCCATTTCTTTGCCATAAAATGGCTATACGTGCCACGGTTACCAGGATGCTAGGTATCTTACCTGTTTTTTTATGTTTTATGCTCAAGGCAACCCGATGCGGAAACATTGAAATTATCTAACATAACACCTTCAAATTAAACAAATACAAATATAAATGTTTTTTACGGTCAAAGAACTCGGGTAGAGGGTTTAGGAACACGTGAAAAAAATTTATGCATGAAAACTTAAAAGAACTGCCATCTATACTTCGTCATAATTTCTGTTACACTTTAGGAAGCGTACACCTTCGTGCCGCCAAAACCGCGTTCCATCAGATTCCTATTGAAGGACACATGTGCATGCAATAGAAGGCCACTGCGCGATAGCCGTGTAAAAGCAATCCAATGGTAGATGTGTCCATGTTATTATTAAATGAATCCATGGGCAGTACTCATATGCTCAGTTTGCGTTGCTTATTCTCTGTTACACTGTCCTGGAACAGAAGCATACTGTGTACATGAGATTTGCTATGCAACACACTTGCATCTTTTTGCTACAAGATTTTTGCATCCACATTTTAACAGTTTTCATGACTAGCTTTGGTGCCTCTTGAAGGAGTGGTTCCAGCATAGGCCATGGGCGAATCATCTGTCACTCTCTCCCAGCCCCATAAATCTCGGCGATGAGAACTTCATGGATTCTTCCTATAAGTGACCTGTTACCCGATGTGCCTTGCCTGCTAAACAGCCCTTTTCACAATGCTGTATCCACGGCATGCCCCACGTTGGCAGGAATTGTTTTCCATCTTACGGTTTTGACGCGTGAACAACTGCTTCCTGGCTTCATTCCATGCTGAGTTGCTGTGTTCGCAGATTACAAAGAACAACTAATCTCTCATTTGGCTCCACGTCGTTGGGGGATACCATGGGCCTTGGAGCCATGGGATAACGAGCAAATAATCGGTTTTGAGATGAGCATACTGCACCCAACATCCCAAAGCTGTTCTGTCTTTCAATTCCCAATGGAAGGCAGAAACAGTATCAAATCCTGAGATTGGTGGAGAAAGAATAGAAGACCCCATGATGCATCGTTTGCTAATTCAGCTGCAATTAGGTCAGGCACTGAATGTAAACGATAGTTTAGCCACCATGACAAAGTGCTATCAATATTTCCCAGTCCTGATAAAACACTTGGACACTGCAAATTGCGGTAACCACCACATCAGTATCATGCATGTATCATCAGGCCTTGGTAAACCCATGATGAATGAATGGGAAGCATGTGAAACAGGAGCCGGATGTGTCTGCTTCTCGTGAGTGCAGAACAAATCTGACAGTTAGCTGATTCTCTGAGCACCAACACTACAACAGTGGTAGCGGCTCTAGTAGTAGTACTATATATAGCCCGCGTTCATTAACTGCCGCAGGGTTATAGAACATTGTCAGCTCGATTTCACTACTGCAACATGTCACCACCTGTTCCCACGAAAAATTGATCGCAAAACGCAAAATGATCGGGCTTTTTAACACTTATTTATCTACATGGACATCTCACCTATCTTTTTGAACACTCCATAACTTTACACCATGTATTTATCCTTTTATTACTCAAGTCAGCACTACTGGCAATCCCGTTTGAAAATATTCTTGCGTGCGAACGCGTGACGTCACCGGTATTGTATATACATGCACCATAGCTGCCATGTGTTTTGCTTACATATCCGGTGCATGTATATACAATACCGGTAGCGTCACGCGTTCGCACACCAGAATATTTTCAAACGGGATTGCCAGTAATGCTGACTTGAGTAATAAAAGGATAAATACATGGTGTAAAGTGTTCAAAAAGATAGGTGAGATGTTGACGTAGATAAATAAGTGTTAAAAAGCCCGATCATTTTGTGTTTTGCGATCAATTTTTCGTGGGGACAGGTGGTGACAGGTTGCAGTAGCGAAATCGAGCTGACAATGTTCTATAGCCCTGCGGCAGTTAATGAAGGCGGGCTATAGTACTAGAGCTACAACAGTGGCAACAGTGCCAACGGCAACACTACGGAACAACATTCTTCAAGGATGTCTCTGAGTCTTAGTCTTAGAAGTTAGTGACATAGTGACAGTGTCTAGCCCGACCAGTCTGCAAGAGTAAAGTCAATACACATGTCTTTCGACGTATCACCGTTTCTTGGAGCTACTACTACTAGTAGTCCCTACCTAGCTCTAGTAACGCTCATAGGGTCTATGTCCCCCAGGGTACTGCCGGAACGTACCCTGGTAACTATCTGATATGGTTAGGGTTAGGGAGTAGGCGTAGGCGACTCCCTAGACTCGTTAGTGGAGTAGGCGAGGTACGGTCCGGCATATTAGATAGTACCAGCAGAGCATATAAATCACGTTGATTTATATGCTCTGGTACCAGGGTACGTTCCGGTATACTGGACCATACCCAGGGTACGTTCCGGCAGTACCCTGGGTGACATAAACCCTCTCAGCTCTAGTAACTATAGCCCGCGTACGGTTGCCGCTGGCCAGCGGCAACCGTACTCAGGCTATAGTTACTACTACTACAGCTAGTCCCTACTCAGCCCCACCGGGCTTTAGTACTGCACTTAATTGCAGTAGTACAGAGTACAGTCTGTAGACTTACAGTGTCAGTAGTGTAGTGTGTATCCCCAGCAACAGCCAAGTTTACATATATATATAGATACACAATTTCACAAAATAATGTAACCCAACACCAGAACAGCGTCATTCTTCTATACTTAATACCCAACTCGACCCCTTTTCTCTTGTGTTACCTATTATAGTATCTAAAGTTAACATACACTGTATATCGCTCCTGATCCATTTTTGAAAAAATGGTCAATTTGGTGCATTCTAAGCTATTTTGGTGCATTATAAGCACTGTTCTATGGAAGAATAGTGATTTTCGTCAGCGAGTCTATGCTTTGGGCAAATTTCTGTGTGGCGGCTGAGAATTTGAGCGAGACGGCGCACCTCGCTCGTGTCAATGCAGGGGAAACACGTCATTATTTTCTGTTAGACTGCTGTAGTTTTTTCACATTTTATATCATAAGAAGTGTCAACTAAAAATTGGTTATCCCGCTGCGTTCTATATGAAGGAAGTCGTACATGTGAAGTTGTATGGGCGTGAGACTACTGGCTATCATTAGAGGACAACATGTCAGTAAAGAGGACAACTCCTGTGAATACCGGGTCATCGTTGCTACGGAATGATGAGAATGAACGTCTGTTCGGCTTGCTCGGCAAGGGATGCACAACCCTCGTCTCCGCAGTAGTGCAGGTACGCTTTACAACTCACGATTCAGTAAGTAGCAAAATAAAGCCCCAATCTCAGCAGGTATGCGCGGGCAACCTTGTTTCTACCGCGGTACACGTCCAGCTCTGTTCCCGATGCGGTACAGGCGTGACTCTGTCACTGCCACCATTCAGCGGTCTCGTTGCTGCCTTCTTGTATTCATGCTGCATTACAGTCTTGCTAAATGAATCTGAAAGCCCAGTCTTTTCTAACTTCGAAAATTTTGATTTCTACTATGCAACCAATACTAGTAACATCAATAAAAACTACCCTGTCCTACTGAAAAGTTATCGAGCGCGGACTAGGGGGACAGGCTGCAATTTCCAACACTGGGCATTCGCTTGCTGCTTTCCTTACAGGTATATCTGGCCGAACCCAATCCGCAACGCTGGAAGCGCAAGACCTGCGGCATGGTGTGCTTTGTCAAGGACGGCAACAAGCGCTCGTACTTCCTGCGCGCGTACGACCTGCGGCAGGGCGCGCTCGTCTGGGAGCAAGAGGTGTACACGCAGTTCAAGTACCGGTCGCCGCGGCCCTACTTCCACACATTTGCTGGCGACATGTGCGAGGCCGGCCTGAACTTCGCCAGCGAGCAGGAGGCTGCGACTCTGTGCAGTGTCCTGCAGAGCAAGATCAACGAGCGTCAAGCTCGCAAGCAAGAGAAGCGTCGACAGGTGAGCGTCTTACGTTACGCGCATTTCTAATGAAAGCGTATCGAAACTTTGCGTGCTGTGTATGTGCTCTTGTCGCTTTTAAAATCTCGGAAGCAATCGATGGCTACAACTGTAGAATGATCATCTGTTCATTGCCGTATACGAGATATTGCATCCTAAACCTTCTACAGGGTTGACAACCGCGGAAAACAAACGGCGGCCACTGAGCCCGTGTTTGTGTTACAGGGCATGACTCAGAACCCGTCAGAGTCGGCGGCGCCGACGGTGACGGGGACGTCACAGATGGTGAGGATCGACGAACGGACGATCATCGAGAAGAAGAAGAAGGAGCAGCGAGGGAAGCGGCAGAAGCTGACGAAGGCCGACATCGGGCTTCCGAGCGACTTCCAGCACGTCGCGCACGTCGGCTGGGACCCGAACAAGGGCTTCGACATGAACAACCTCGATCCGAACCTGAAGACGCTCTTCGAGAAGGTCGGCATCTCCGAGAACGACCTCCAGGACACGGCGACGCGCAGCTTCATCTACGACTTCATCGCGAAGCAGGGCGGCCTGGAGGCGGTGAAGCGCGAGGCGTCGGTGCACGCCCCCGCGCGCCCGCCCGAGTGCGTGCGTGCGTGCGTGCGTGCGTGTGTGTACGTGCTGTGCCCGCCCGTTATTTTACGGCACATGACATGCTTCACACTAATCACAATTCGGAATTTTTCGCAGCCATATATAACAATATTTCACATTGATTTCAGTGTGCTCCCGCCTGGCTGCCAAGAGTTTTTACTCGCCGACATGGAAGCCATACTTTCGCTGTCTTAAAGGAAATCCGCCGTGCATCTACTTCAGCAGAGTGAATAACGGAATGAAGGATTGCGAAAACGGCGAAGACGAGGTGTGAAATTCGGGCCTAAATGCCACCTCTACAGGATTCGTAGCGTCATGATTTTTATGACGTCATAGGCATTACAGGACTGGTCAACTTAGATTGAACTACGCATAAATTGCGAGATGTTGACGCTTTAAGAAGAACGTGCACGCACGGCCGTACTGCGGCGAGGCTATGCACACTGTAAGACAAAAAAAAGCTGTATTGTTGTAAAGAGATGTGAAAAATGTGTTTGTTGTCTAGGCGTAGTGAATAAGACCGATCGCTTTACCTACGTTGATTAAATAGCAATAACCTACGTTGATTAAATAGCAATAACCTACGTTGATTAAATAGCAATAACCTACTGAAACACACGGTTCATTATAAAATATAATATATTTCGGAAAAGGCGGTTTCCTGGTATTATAGAAACGCAAAATGTCATAGAAGAGACGTTTATCAAAATGTATTAATTAGTAGGCTAATGCATAATTTCTTATTATTTTAAAGATTGTTATAGTTGTACAATGTGTGTAAGTTATACAGTTTGTATAACTTGCAGTATATGTCTGCTGAGAAAAGCCTTGATAACAAATCAATATATTATTAAAAAACATTCTAACTTCTTGGAACGTGTAATAGGTAACAAACGATAGAATAATTGACTTTGTGACAATATGCACCACGATAAACAACCAAATGTATATAACTGCTGATTTGATCGAAAGAAAACTAGTGCGTGTTGTTATTTGCAATGTTAACAATATAAACAAATAATGTGGAAGTTATCGATTTGTGTTAATTAAAACAGTTCATTTTAAAATTACAATTAGTTTGGTTTATTTTGTTATATGTATACGTATAGGCCTACTGCTACCGATCAAGTAATAAAAACCGAGATGCAACGACGCGAGCGCCATCCCCATGCATGCACATTAGCATAGGGGAAAAATTGTGGCGGGATGCTCTGCTGCCAAAGTAAACTTTCAGGAGCAAATTTTACCGTGCACATCTCTCCCGGGTGTGGCTACTCCTGCGCATTTTCAGCGCGTAAGTTTGGCCGAATAAAATCTTTGCTGGCAACATGACCAGCGTCGCGAGAGCCATATATAATTTCCAGGTACCTCGGCATCTAGGTTAAGGATAGTGACAGGATGCTGCGACCAAAGCGAAGATTTTAGAACGGATTTTACAACGCCCATCTCTCGCGGGCATGCCCCTGCCCATTTTAACGCCTAATCTTAGCCGAAAGATTACCCGAAATTATTCATCTTGGCTTGCAACGGCGACGAGCGACGCGGGCACCATTTTATGTACATTAGCACAGGGAAAAATTGTGGCAGGCGAAAAAGAGCGCCATTTCCTTGTACATTAGAGTATGGAAACAAATGTGGCGCGATGCCTCCAGCATTGTCGTAACAATGACTAAACCAAACCAATTAGTAGGCAATTTCACAATAGAAGCTAGAGTGAAATTATATGAGTGCACGATACTCCCATCTATATTAAATAATAGTGAAACTTGAACAAACCTAACAAAAAGGGAATTGGAAGGCTTTCAAAATGATTGCTTAAGGAGAATAAATAGTTCCGCCGTTCTAACGTAGCGGAATGTATTCGCGACGCCCAGAGGCCCCAGCTCGATTCGCGCGAGCACACGCGGCACGGTTTCGGAGGAGATACGGAAAACGACATTTCGGCTCTTTCTACTATTATATAGTACTAAGTAGATACTTCCAGGTGAGGTTGCCGAGAATAGAGACGAATTGCTTGTTAAATTACTCGCTAGATGTCGGGGCCAACTATAACTATGGCGTTGTCTTGTGCAAAATTATTATCCGCTAACCCTATCATGTGCTATCATGGGCAAACCCGGGTATCCGGGTCATATTTTCCTGTTAGTTGCGTTATGAAGTTTGTCGTTTTGAGGTAAACTTTCGGTGTTTTATTTTACAATAAATGTGTATATTGTACATTGCGTGAGCTAAGATTATCCGAAACGTTGAAGAACAAAAATACCACTTAGTTTTAACTCGGTCACTGACAGTGACACCGAGTCACTGACAGTCTTCAGCTTAGCACCAATCATAGGCTGCTATGTGAACTAGTAGTAGTCACGTATATACTACTGATAGCCGCTTTACATTAACTTGACGCTGGCTATAGACCGACCCATGGGGCATGCGATGGACCACCTTTACTCCAGCCGTCCAGCGGAACTTATGTATTTTCCGCATGTGGAGGGGTGGGGCGGTTGTGTTGTTGTTGGAGCAAAAATCATTGTTTGTTGTCAAGTAACAAATTTAATAATAGGTAATTTGTTTCATTCTTTCATAGACTAAATACTTAATGATTACATATCTCTTTTTGATCGGCTAATTTGTTACTTGACAATCAACAATTTTTGTCGGCACAACCACGCCGACCCTCGTCACACGGTGGAAATAGCATGAGTTCCCGAGCTGACTGGCGGCTGTGCAGCGCACCGCCGAGAAAATGGCCGTTTGAAGTTCGCAATCGAATGTGTGTCACAAGAAATACGGCGAAGTATATCCATTGAACGATAGTTAGCAGGTTCAATTTTAAGTAGCGGCTATAACTTAAGACATATTCACTGGTCGGAATAAGAGGGCATTAATTTGCCTACGCAGCAGACGTTTATAGTCGGGTATAATCGGGATAGTTGGTCGCATCGGCATGCCCGCATGGGGTCGGTCTATAGCGCAGCGGCAGTTAATGTAAGCGCGCTATAGTACTAGAGCTAGCACCAACACTACAAACAGTGCGTAGCGCGCTCTAGTACGTAGTACGTATATATAGCCCTGGCGTTTCATTAACTGCCGCAGGGTTATAGAATCATTGTCAGCCTCGAGTTTTCACTAACTGCAACATGTCACCACCTGTTCCCACAAAAATTGATCGCAATAACGCGGAAAATGATCGGGCTTTTTTAACACTTATTTAACTACAATTGGACATGCTCACCTATCTTTTGAACACTCCATAAACTTTAGCACCATGCTATTTATCCTTTATTACTCAAGTCAGCACTACTGGCCCAATCCGCTTTGAAGATATTCTTGCGTTGCGAAGCGCGTGACGTCACAGGTATTCGTATATACGATGCACGCATTAGCTGTCCTATGTGTTTTGCCTTACATATCCGGTGCATGTATATTACAATGACCGGTAGCGTCACGCGTTCGCACACTCAGATATTATTTTCAAACGGGATTGCCAGTATGCCTGACTTGAGTAATTAATAGGATAAAATTAAACAGTGGTGTAAAGTGTTCAAACAATAGTGAGATGTCTGACGTAGATAAATACAGGGTTAAAAAGCCCGATCATTTGTGTTTTGCCGATCATTTTTCGTGGGCGACAGGTGGTGACATCGGTTGCAGTACGCGGAAATACGAGGCTGACAATGTTTCTATAGCCCTGCCGGCAGTTAATGAAGGGCGGCTGTATAGTACGCAGCTAAACAGTCCCCTGGCAACAGTGCCAACAGCAACACTACGGAACAACAGTTCTTGCAAGGATGTCTCTGAGTCTTAGTCTTAGAAGGTTAGTGAGACACTAGTGACAGTGTCTAGCCCGCGACGCAGCCTGCGAAGGTAAATGTCAATACACATGTCTTCGAGTCTATCACCGTTTCTTGCGGCTACTACTACCTAGTAGTCCGTACCTAGCTCTAGTAACGCTCATCAGGGTCTATGTTCCCCAGGGTACTGCCGAACGTACCTGGTAACTCTCTGATATGTGTAGGGTTAGCGGAGTAGGCGTTAGCGGACGCCTAGACTCGTTAGTGAGTAGGCGAGGTACGGTCCGGCAATATTAGATAGTACCAGCAGAAGCATATAAATCATCGTTTGATTGATTATGCTCTCGGTACCAGGGTACGTTCCGTATGCACCTACAGGGTACTACGGCCATTCAGACGTCGTCAGTACCCTGGGGGACATAGCGGCTGCTCAGCTCTAGTAACTATAGCCCGCGTACGGTTTGCGCGGTGGCCAGGCGAACCGTAACTAGGCTAATAGTTACTACTACTACAGCTAGTCCCTACTCAGCCCACGCGGCCTTAGTATGCTGCACTTAATTGCCCGCAGTAAGTACAGAGTAATCTGTATGACTTACAGTGTCAGTAGTGTAGTGTGTATCCCCAGCAACAGCCAAGTTTACATATATATAGTAGATATCGACATATTTCACAATAATGTACACCGCAATCACCAGAACATGCCGTCATTCTTCTATACTTATACCCAACTCGACCGCCTTTTCTCTTGTGTTACCTATTATAGTTATCTAAAGTTAACGTACACTGTATATCGACCTCCCTGATCGATTTTTGAAAAATGCGTCAATTTGGTGGCATTCTAAGACTAATTGTTGGTGCATTATAAGCACTGTCTATGGAAGAATAGTGATTTTTCGTCAGCGAGTCTCTGCTTTGGGCAAAATTTCTTGTGGCGGCTGAGAATTGAGCGAGACCCCCGTCCCCCCCCCCGCGCACCTTCGCTCGTGTCAATGCATGGGGGAAACACAGTCATTATTTTCTGTTTGACTGCTTGTAGTTTTTTCACATTGTTATGATCATAAGAAGTGCTCAACTAAAAGTTGGTTATCCGCGCCTTGCGTTCTATATGAAGGAAGGTCGTACATGTGAAGTTGTATGGGCGTGAGCTACGGCTATCATTAGATAGGACAACATGTCAGTAAAGAGGAAACTCCTGTGAATACCGGTCATCGTTGCTACGGATGATGAGAATGAACGTCTGTTCGGTCTGCTCGGCAAGGGATGCACAACCCTCGTCTCCGCAGTAGTGCAGGTACGCTTTACAACTCACGATTCAGTAAGTAGCAAAATAAAGCCCCCAATCTCAGCAGGTATGCGCGGCGCAACCTTGTTTCTACCGCGGTAAACGTCCAGCTCTGTTCCCGATGCGGTACAGGCGTGACTCTGTCACTGCCACCATTCAGCGGTCTCGTTGCTGCCTTCTTGTATTCATGCTGCTTACAGTCTTGCTAAATGAATCTGAAAGCCAGTCTTTTCTAACTTCGAAAATTTTGATTTCTACTATGCAACCAATACTAGTAACATCAATAAAAACTACCCTGTCCTACTGAAAAGTTATCGAGCGCGGACTAGGGGGACAGGCTGCAATTCCAACACTGGGCATTGCGCTTGCTGCTTTCCTTACAGGTATATCTGGCCGAACCCAATCCGCAACGCTGGAAGCGCAAGACCTGCGGCATGGTGTGCTTGTCAAGGACGGCAACAAGCGCTCGTACTTCCTGCGCCGCGTACGACCTGCGGCAGGGCGCGCTCGTCTGGGAGCAAGAGGTGTACACGCAGTTCAAGTACGCGTCGCCGCGGCCCTACTTCCACACATTTGCTGGCGACATGTGCGAGGTTGGCCTGAACTTCGCCAGCGAGCAGGAGGCTGCGACTCTGTGGCAGTGTCCTGCAGAGCAAGATCAACGAGCGTCAAGCTCGCAAGCAGAGAAGCGTCGACAGGTGAGAGCGTCTTACGTTACCGCGGCATTTCTAATGAAAGCGTATCGAAACTTTGCGGGCTGTGTGCGTGCGCTTGTCGCTTTTAAAATCTCGGAAGCAATGCGATGGCTACAACTGTAGAATGATCATCTGTTCATTGCCGTATACGAGATATTGCATCCTAAACGCTTCTACAGGGTTGACAACCGCGGAAACAAACGGCGCGCACTGAGTTCGTCCCCCCGTGTTTGTGTTACAGGGCATGACTCAGAACGCGTCAGAGTCGGCGGCGCCGACGGTGACGGGGACGTCACAGTGGTGAGGATCGACGAACGGACGACCATCGAGAAGAAAGAAGAAGGAGCAGCGAGGGAAGCGGCAGAAGCTGACGAAGGCCGACATCGGGCTTCCGAGCGACTTCCAGCACGTCGCGCACGCTCGGCTGGGACCCGAACAAGGGCTTCGACATGAACAACGCTCGATCCGAACTGAAGACGCTCTTCGAGAAGGTCGGCATCTCGCGAGAACGACCTCCAGGACACGGCGACGCGCAGCTTCATCTACGACTTCATCGCGAAGCAGGGCGGCCTGGGGCGGTGAAGCGCGAGGCGTCGGTGCACGCCCCCAGCGCGCGCCGCCCGCGCCGCACCGCGCCGCCGCCGCGCCATCCGCGCAGTCTGCAGCTCCCCGCCCCGCCACGCGGGACATCAGCCGGCCGCCCCGCCGCGCGTGCGCGGACGCTCTGCCGCCTCCCCTCCCAGCGTCAAGCAACCGTTCGCTCAGCCGCCGCCCCACCAAGCCGCGCACGTCGCGCAGCCCCCGCTCCCGAGCCGCGGCCGCCACCGCGCGACCCGCCGCCGGCCGCGAGCAATCGGGCGGCGCAGGGCTCCCCCTCCTCCCCCGCCGCCACCCCGCCCAGCGGCGAGGCCTGCCGCCGCCGCGCCCGTCGGGCGGGGCACCCCTGCCGCGCACGCGGCGGCCACGCCTGAAAGGAATAGAAAAAAAAAGAAAAAAAAAAAGAAAGAAGAAAAAAAAATAAAAAAAAAGAAAAAAGAGAGGGAAAAAGAAAAAGAAGAAAAAAAAAAAAAAAAGAAAAAAAAAAAAAGTAGACGGAGAAAAAGGGAAAAAGAAATAAAAAAAAAAAGGAAAAAAAAAAAAAGAAAGAAAAAAAGAACAAAAAAGAAAAAAAAAAAGGAAAAAAAAAAAAGAAAAAAAAAAAGGAGGAAAAAGGAAAAAGAAAAAGAAAAAAGGAAAAAAAAAAAAAAAAGAAAACAAAAAAGAAAGGAAAAAAAAAAAAAAAAAAAAAAAAGGGAGAGAAAAAAAAAAAAAAGAAAGAAAAAAGGAAAGAAAAAAAAGAAGAAAAAAAAGAAGAGGCAGAAAAAAAAAAAAAAAAAAAAAAGGGCAAAAAAAAGGAAAAAGAAAAAGAAAGGAAGAAAAAAAAGGAAAAAAGAAAAGGGAGCCGACCGATTCGCGCAATTCGCTGCTAGATCAGATCCACAACTTCAAGGGCGCGGGCGCGCTGCGTCACGTCGACGCGTCGACGCACGCCGGCGGGGACGAGCGCGGAGATCTGCTCAGCGCTATCCGGCAGGGTCGCAAGCTCAACCCCGTCGACCACTCGGACGTGCCGCCGCCGCCGCCGGCCGATGACGAGACCGAGGGCATTGCGGGGGCGCTGCTCAACGCGCTCAAGCAGCGCGAGATGGCCATCCAGGGATACGACTCGAGCGGTAGCGACGACGACGATGACGACGACGACTGGTCCGACTAGAGGCGGAGATCGGGTGACGACAAGATCGGGTGACGACGAGATCGGGTGACGACGAGATCATGTGACAATGAGGTCAGGTGACGATGAGATGAGGTGACGATGAGGTCAAGTGATGAAGAGATCAGGTGATGAAATTCAACGTCGAAGCAATTGAGTTAGAATGTCTTACGTGCGACTGATTTACATCTGGTGATGGACATTAAGCATGGGCTTCGTGTGGTACACACAGCTCCATATCAATGAGTTTTACGTGTAATTAAAGGTACAGATGTATGTACATCGTGTGTACTCGATAACACAATGTACATAACTTTGTGAATACTCTCAGAGATGCGTGCATTATAAGTTATAACAACAACTGACTAGTTATCCCAACAGGGTGAAACAAACACATACCTAATGTGTTCGTATGTCACTTCGTATACAGAAATCTACAGGTATGTGAAGCATGTTCTTACTGGGATCAGTGAGGATGCCTCGCAGCACCAACAGATATGTCCTGTGTGCGTTCGGTATAGTTTTTGAAATTTAGGAATAATACCAGATGAAACAAAACACTCTGGATTCTCTGGCGGAAATCGGTGTCGTACGGATATAATTGGATAATTTTCCGCTAAGCCGAGCTGTTGAAATTCAGGCCACACTATTAATGCAGATTAATGGTTTCAACTGTGTGTTGAGGGCATAAATAAATTACATATTTTCGTAATTAGTTATCCTTGCAAACAGGTTAAGGGTGAAGTGAATAGACAACCGGTTATTTCCATAGATATAAAATAGATCTTTATTCTATATCTTTGGTTATTTCATTTCTTTTCATTTTGTCTAATTAGATATTAACCGTTTCTTGCAATAGGGGGGCATATTGTTTCCCCGTTTTATTGTACGAATGCATTGGGGGTATATTTCAGGCATTTGTAAGATTTTTGGTGTATGGCAATGGCATACAGCACGTGAAAATAAATATGATCTATTTAATTTAAAAACATTAGTTATCGTTTTGAGCTAACAATTAAAACCCTGACTCCTGATCAGTCCATTATTATTAAATAGTTTGAAACACGTACAAATGTTGGCAGGATGAACAAATTTTAATGCAATGTTGTGACTATCAAAAATCACTCTAATCAAAATTTCAACCGTTCATGTATGATGTAGAATAATATATAGATCACATATAGCATTTTTATTGTCTCATTTAAAATCAACAACATAAGCTTATATGAAGGCACAGGTAACATATTAACTTCGCCCTACTCGCAGTTAGACAATAAATGATTTTTTACTAATATCTGTAAAAATAACATCATCACATGCTTTATACATAACTGTTTCAGAAGTTACATATAGACATATCTGTCTGATATATTACTACCGATTGTTATTATATTGCCTCCATTATAATCACAAATCGCCTTCTATAAACATTTTCGATTTTCACAAGAGAAAAAACCCGTCCGCATTGGTTACCAGTTCAAATATGACAATTTCTATAACAGTCTACTTGGTTTAAATACTGTTTTTTATCAAAATCTAAAATTTCTTTTAGTCTCTTCTCTATATAAAAGTACGTAAGCTATCCTACTGTCCCAGCTGTCACTACATCCACATGTAAATCATAGCGATTTTGTATTTTCACATGATCATATACTTGGATATTTTAGGCCACTCAAATCTCTTGGTTGTGGTAACCTACCAACCAATGATTTTAGATGTGGTCGAGTTGTTAATCAAAAATTTATCTGAGCACTGCCTGCACAAATACTACAGTCGTATACATTACATTTACCATAAAATCCTCGACAGCAACAAAATCTATTAGGTTTGAATACACAAGATATTTTATGCACGTGGCCTTGCATAGAATTATAAGTACTATGCTTAACATTTACCTATTCGTAAACACAACCTAGAAAATATTTTTAAAGAATTCATCGTTACCTGATTATTAATTGGCATTTAAAATGTCGAATTGAAGAGGGACGCATGCTTGGGAATATAGGCAATAGAATCAATATTAAAAATTACTCTTGTAAAAAAATAGTATTAACAAAAAAACGTAATAATAAACGAGCTAATACAATTGATCACAAACAAATAAATCGGTATATAATGTCATGCAAATTAATATTAAATTCTGTATATTCATAGGCCTACTTCTACTATACTGTTAAAGATGGCCGGTAGTATAAACTACAGTACACACAATACAGCACACTCGAAAATGCTAATCGACCCTTAATTGTATGCATTTTAGCAATCACATTTTTCATGAACAATATGTTGTAACACAGACCGATAATAACCTGTGTCTGTTCCCCCCCAATGTCAATTTAACATACATACATGGCCAATTACGCAAGTGCTGACAATTCTATGAATAAACATGAACTTTGGACGGTCACGCTTGCCCGAGACAAACCACTGCACACTGCACACACACACACCATGCGTGCAAGCGAGCAGAGCAGTATGTTTACCTAAACACGTGTGCATCTGCTACCGGCTGGGTGCAACGGCTAACCTCTGCCTATGCACTGAAGCCAGCACTGCTAAGCACGTGCTGGGTAAATGGTGCAATTAATGCAGCTAAATGCGTAGATATCGTTTAGCACGGGAATATCCACAGCTCGCAAATCGCGAATATTGCACAAAAAGTTCGAATGGGATTGCTCGGGTGTTTACAATTCGGGGGTCTGCCCACGCACTCAGCACCTACCGCTATGGCGTAACAGGGCTCCGTTAATATGTAGAGTAGGTAATTACAAAATGATCATTGCTAAAATATAATGAGCCAACGCCCGAGATGTTTGTTAAATGCTAACTGGGTTGACACGCATAACCACGATCTGTGTGGGAGAACACCTGGGTAGAAATTCTAAGAATACGGGAAGTGCGCACGTGAAATCTACACGTGAGTAGAACGTGATTTGTTAAGTTCAGTTCAATATTACACGTGTTAACTCGATACTTTGGTGAGAGCCTAAACACGTGTAAACCGCATGGTCTTGCATGTAACGGAGCCCTGTTACAATTGTTCCACTAACCATAACTCGATTGAATACTTTTCAACTGACACACGACGTGGAAAACTCACCAGACAGCACTTCCGAATCACGAGACAAAATTTTCTGGGGACGCAATCTATACAGCGAGATTTCCACATTTTTTTGTAGTAAGCAAGTAAATACGTACAACCCACGCACGCACGCACGCACGCACAGACGAACGGAGACGTGCGTACCCTGAGGATGCCTGCCTCGCATCAGGCAGAGGTGATTGTCGCCACGCTCCCGGTCCTCCTGGTCCCTCCGCCTCCCGGCTAGTCCCGACAGAAGCCGGAGAGGCTGTCGGCCGGGAAGCCGCAGTAAAAGATGTTCCAGAAGACGGCGAACATGACTGCGGCGAGGAAGACCGACAGCGAGATCCACCAGACCTTCTCCTCCCACGGCCTCACGTCGATGTTCTTCAGCGTGACGATGCCGACGAGGACGCCTGCGGGGCGAGACGAGACGCGAAATTCACACATCGTTCAATTTGTGGCGAGCGGCAGCGTTGACTCGCCGCGCGATTTCAACGAGCAGATCCGTGGCTAAAGTGACTAGTGGAGGGGGAGGGAGGGGATGCTTGATGGTGGTATTGTTAGGTGAGAAGAAGTCAACAAAGGAAAAAGGCTAGGTTTTGTTATTTATACAAAGAAAAAACAGAGAAAATATTTTAACGAATAAATCCGCAGATTCGCAATTTGTTGAAGTGTCGAGTTTGAGGAATGTCGTTATGATTGATGTCAAGACACGGCAGAGGAGGCAGATGTTCCGAGACTCCTGGCGTGATTATAAGAGACGATGATAATGATCGGCATTACAGGCATTAGGTGACAATAACGAGGGATCTGGGATGTGTCAGGCGCAGATTTAGGCCGGTTTGCACCGGTTTTCAGAAACCGGTCACAGGCTGGGTATCTTCAGAATTGACCCTCAAAATTCACCAGAATGCACCAAATATAGCCTAATTCTTTAAAATGGCATGCCCCCGGACCACCCTAGCTGTGACTAGAACTATGGAAACTGGTCACCCAAACCCTCTGGATCCACCCCTGTGTGTGGAGGGGGGGTTGGGGAAAGGTAGGGAAGCGGGCAGTGGTAGAAGGGGACGAGAAAGCGTGAGTGTGCAAGAAAAAGTGACTAGTGGGGAGAGGGATGCTTGGTGGTGGTATAAAGGGCTGAAAATGTCAGGTGAGAAGAAAAGAAGGCAACATGGAAAAAAAAGTTATGTTTTGTTATGTATATGATATTATGTATGACAAATAATTATTAATTAAAAAATAAAATTGATATTATGTATATTCAATGGAAAAACAGAGAAAAGGAGATCAAACGGAGAGCGATTTGAGGCGATGGAACAAAAATCAAATAACAGGCCGATAAGGTGAGTATCACTGCGACACTCATCATTTAATTATCTTGCATCCATAGAGAGCATGTCACGGTGGTGGCCTCTGCCCACACAGCACGTATACTACACATACATTAAGCCATGATAAAAATATTGTTTGTTTGCCCTCACCCGACCGACCCGCCAAAAAGGGGCCGACTCAAACAATTTTATTGATCTCTCCCATTCCTTTTTTTTTTTACAAATTGTATCACTGTACATTATATAAATCTGTAGGCAATACATTATATGTACCAAGCAAAAACAAACATTCAACACAAAAGGTATCTCCACTCAAGCACACCAGAGCATGTAGACACCATTCTGAATTTGTAAAAAAAAAAAAGCCTCCCTACCTACCCAAACTTTTCAGCCTGGGTCGGGTGAGGGCAAACAACAATTTTTTTAATTGTGGCCTTACGTCGCTACAGAAGCAAGATGCTTAACGCTGAGCACTCACCTGCCAGAGCCCCACAGAAATGAGCAGCGTATCCGACGCCAGTCTCGACGCCCGTGTAGCGATAGTAGAGTGCAGTAGCAATGTCAGATGCCGCGAGGATTATCACAAACAGCAACCGCGCCCAGCCAAACTCCATCTCCGACCAATTCTGAGAGCAGAGAGCAGTGGTATTGCATTAAGCCGTCATTGTTGTGTGACTTCTTACCTCGCTAAAAAGGCTAAATGTTTTAGTGCGCTGCTATGATTTTCGTCAAGGTGACTACCGTATATGATTGCGTAATAACCGCGGGCGCCTATAAGCCGCACCTCAATTTGAATCGGGTAACCAAGTATTGCGCCTAGTATATTTCCCCTCACGGTATGGCGCACTTATAAACCGCAGAGCAAATACAGGGTTGAAATCTGAGGCAAAATTTGCGGTTATTACGTGAGTATATACGGTAATTATAACAACACGAAAAAGTGCAAGTCAATAATAGGATCTAGTAGTCGAGGGAACAAAATGCACACAAATAGCACACACCGATGCTATATGACTTTAGTTTGCAGCGCTAGTGGATCTAATTGGGTTTACATCACGAAGAATCTCAAGTCAGAAAAAGATTATCAAATTAGCACTGCGTCTCACTTACCATAATGACGTTTGCGAGATGGGCAGACAGTACAGCGTATACACCACCCGACGCACCAGCTAGATATACATAGCTGTCAACTACTGACGTGCCCAGAGACCCTACAATAATATAACAGTATGATAAATATACAGGTATATAGTATGCTAAACCTATTCACTTCAGGTGCTTACAGTAAACATTCTTGCCTGTATTATATTTAGGTAGCACTGCATCGTAGTGCCTATCACAAACAGATTAACTCGGAACTTGTCAAAGAAAATTTCATCTCGAATTATTGCGCAAGAAACTACAGAGTTAAAATTGAACTGTATAGTGTTGTGAGAACAACCAAAACACGATCACACGTCTGACCTCGATCGCGTCCGTATGGCTCAACCCACATCCACTTCACACATCCCAATATAGAGGTGTCGCACATCTCAACATGTCTGTGGGTCTTAACTGTACCATGAGTCAGAACACATCCACTGCATTGCAATTCATCTGCACGTCTTACCGTGTCTGACGTGCAACAACAGGTCCATGTGCATATCTATGTCTGTGTGTTGTAAGATGTCTGTGAGTCATAATATGTCTGTGTGTCATACTATGTTTGCGTGTGATAACATGTTCGTATGTGTCATAACATGTTTGTATGTCATAACATACTAGTGTGTCATAACATGTTCGTGTGTCATAACATGTTCGTGTGTCATAACATGTTCGTGTGTCATAACATGTTCGTGGACCACACGAACATGTTATTGAACACGAAAATGTATGACACACGAACATGCTATGACACACGAAACGATGCTCTGACACACGAACCACATGTTTATGAACACACGCAAGCATGTTTATGTGACACACGAAAGCATGGTTTTATGGGACAGCACGAACATGGTTTTTTATGAACATAACGACATGATATGGACAAGCACTACGAACATGTTCACTGACAACAATCACGAACCACTGAATTAATGACACAGGCTAGTATGTTAATGGAACATACAACCAGGTATTAATGGAACACACTGGTTATGGATATGACACACGAACATGTTTATGACACAATACAAACATGAATATGACACACTAAGTATGTTATGACAATACAAACAATGTTTCTATGAAAACACACTGGATAATGCTTTATGCACACACGAACATGTTAAAATGAACCACATACAAACATGATCATGAAACACATGAACATGTTTATTACACAGACGAAAACATGTATTCTAATGACACATACGAACAATGTTTATGACACACGAACATGTTTTAGTGACCACAATACGAACATGATTTAATGACATCAATACGAAGCATCGTTACTGACCCAATACGATAACATGGTTTAATGACACGAG